AGTGGGGCCCTCTGACTGAATCCAGACTTCACAGAACAAATCCCCTCTAGGTCCTCAAGTGGGGCCCTCTGACTGAATCCAGACTTCACAGAACAAATCCCCTCGAGGTCCTCAAGTGGGGCCCTCTGACTGAATCCAGACTTCACAGAACAAATCCCCTCGAGGTCCTCAAGTGGGGCCCTCTGACTGAATCCAGACTTCACAGAACAAATCCCCTCTAGGTCCTCAAGTGGGGCCCTCTGACTGAATCCAAACTTCACAGAACAAATCCCCTCTAGTTTCTCAAGTGTGGCCTTCTGACTAAATCTAGATTTCACAGAACAAATCTCCTCTAGGTCCCCAAGTGGGGCCCTCTGACTGAATCCAGACTTCACAGAACAAATCCCCTCGAGGTCCTCAAGTGGGGCCCTCTGACTGAATCCAGACTTCACAGAACAAATCCCCTCTAGGTCCTCAAATGGGGCCCTCTGACTGAATCCAGACTTCACAGAACAAATCCCCTCTAGGTCCCCAGGTAGGGCCCTCTGACTGAATCCAGACTTCACAGAACAAATCCCTTCTAGGTCCCGAGTGGGGCCCTCTGACTGAATCTAGACTTCACAGAGCAAAGGATTTTAAGGATCTGTCAAAAGGCCACACTTGAGGACCTAGAGGGCCACATGTGGCCTCGAGGCCGCACGTTCCCCACCCCTGATCTAGACCAACTCCCTCATTTGACAGAATAGGAAACTGAGGCCCAAGGAGGGGAAGGAACTTGTCCAAGGTCACACAGGTAGTAAGCAGGGTGTGGGGTAATCCAAGGTAATACAGTTGTGACTCTGGTCTGCTCCCACAAGCCCTGCTCCTCTCTCCTACTTATCAGCACGACGGCCACAAAAAAGGACAGCCAGGGCCAGTAAAGGCAGAACTGACTAAATACGGTGGGGCCAGATACATGAGTAGAAATTTAAGAGCTGAGAGGAAGCCGTGAAGCCACCATCTCACCCAGCTTCTCAGCTTCCATATAGCCCAGAGGATGTGAGGAACTTCCCTGAGGTCACAACACTAGGAAATAGCAGACCAGAGATCAAAACCTAAGGTGCCTGAGTCCAAATCCAGTGGTCTTTCCAGTAGACTACTCAACTGGCTGATTAAAGATTGAGTCACCCTGGGGTGGCCCCCTTTTTTTTTGCCT